TCTCTCTCTCTCTCTCTCTCTCTCTCTCTCTCTCTCTCTCTCTCTCTGTCTCTTTGTGGGTTCAACTGTCCTGGAATTTGCTTTGTAGACCAGGTTGGCCTCGAACTCATAGAGATCCACCTGCCTCTGCCTCCCAGGCGCTGAGATTGAAGACATGCGCCACCACTCGGCTCCATTTTCTTTAAAGGCATGTTTTAGTGGCTAACTCAGTGTGAGACAGGTAAATGTAAGGTACTGGCATTATTTGTGATTTTTAAAACTTTATTCAAACTTTGTTTTCAATGTGTGCTCCTGTAGAGCCACCAGGGGCAGGCAACAAGACCATTAATAAGGAAAACTCACTCTAGCTGAACACTGTGGATCATGCTTTTGCTACTTAAGTATTTACTAATATTAAATACTTCATATTTTATCTCTAAAATGTGTCATCTATTTTTGTTACAAAAATAACACAACTGAAGAGTGTTCGAAAAGTATCATTTGTCTCAATTTGTGTCAATGAAATTAAGTAAATTTATTGTTATTAATAAATTCTCATGTTTCCAAAGATATCAATTTCGAGGAACTTGGTTTAGCATAGTGTCAGAATAAATTTATAATTGATGGACTGGTGCCTTTGCAAATATACTTTCTCACTTACAACTTAAAACTATCACTGAACTTCTTCTCCATAAACTATCTAGGGGTAAATATTAAAACTGTAGGCTAAAATATGTATACTATCTACTTGTGTTTGGAAATGAAAGAGGGACAGTCATCTTTTCTAAGGCCCACGGGGAGAAAAACCTCCTACAAATAATCATTATTCTGAAATGAAATATTCCAACAGTGTCACTGTTACCAAGTATATATAATAGTGTAGGGATCTTTAAATCTCACCATTTTTCAGTTACGCTCATTTCACTGTAATATAAACTTCTCCTTTCCCCTATAACCACTATGGTAATTTATTGGACTGCCTGATCACAACCTATGAGAACCTGTGTATGTAACACATTTTCATGCAAAAGTTTGTATCAAACACTTATCAAGATCAGCACAAGGGTTCAGAGAGGCATTTCTCAACACTTGGGTGGCCCCTTTGGGAGTCGAATAACCCTCTCATGGGGGTCACCTAGGATCATCAGAAAACATAGATATTTACATTACAATTCATAACAGTAGCAAAATTACAGTTAGGAAGTAGGAACAAAAATAGTTTTGTGGTTGGGGGGTCACCACAACATAAGGACCTAGATTAAAGGATTGCAGCATTAGGGAGGTTGAGAACCACTGGTTCAGAGGGCGAAAGTGCTTGCTCTCAAACCTGGGAACTGTGTACCTTTTCTTGAATCCACATGGTGAAGGAGAGAACAGACTCTCACAAGTTGCCCTCTGATTTCTGCATAGGCCACATGGCATGCACTGCCCAGCACACACACACACACACACACACACACACACACCAAATAAATGTAATCCATTTCATTTTTATGAACAGTCGTACAAAATACTTTTAAACAAGAAAATCACTTCAGCTTTTAATATTTCTCTATAAGCATTGTTGAACTGCCTAAGAGATGTTCTAAGGTAAAGATATATATGAACAATGATAGATGCTTCCAAAAAATGTACAGGACAAACAGAATAACCACGACCTGAGAACTAAAGAGTTTTCCTTGAATTTCATTTAGTGAGTGCTTTTCGGGTTTTCTCCCTCCTCCGTGATTTCATTTGTTCAATTCAACTTTTAATAGTTTCTCAAATATGCAAATGAAACCAGCTATCTCTAACTTATATTTGCTGAATAAAGATCCAGACTTCCTTTTTAACTGTCACGTTAGATTCTCTAAGCAATATCCGTCTTACCTGCCACATGTTCGTCTTTTAAGGGCCTCTGCTGGGTTCCACACACACTTTCCCAAGCCGGTCTTGGCTTTCCTGCATCCTGAGTTTCACTCAGATGAGTGAGGATACCTGAAAGTACTGCTAACGCCGGCTGCCTAACCAGCCTCGAGATTTACACGCTCCCCTGCCTGACTGACAGCTCCTCTGAAGGTTCGCTGTCTTTGTTTTGTGGGATCATAACCCACTGCCAATGTCTTCTGCACGAGAAAGTAGCAGCAACCCACGGAGGCTGTGGCTTTGGCAGGATAACTGCATGCAGCCAACAGCCTCTCGTGTAAATAGCCCAGTGGTAGGGGTGGGCTTCAAGGCTGCAAACGCAAACAGTGCCGGACATGCGGGATTTTCTTCTAGCAACACCAGGACACGTACAAGTTCTGCATCAGAGCTCAGAGAAAAGTAGCTGATGGACGCATAGGTGGAGAGCCAGCTATTTTAAAATTACTCGAAGAGTCTAAAGCCTCAGTCTGGCTGGGAGGCTCTTCCTCTCCACACACAAGGTCTGTTTTCCTGCCTAATTTAAGAATGAATCGCTGACACCTCCAGGTGCAATACCCCGAGGTGAGAACGTACCCATACAACGCTAACAAGGGTACACACACACACACACACACACACACACACACACACAGTGGATGCCAATTCTTACCTTAGCAGATTAGACAGGGGCAGAGGTCCGGATCCACTGCCCAGGATCCCTCCTTTCCTGCCAGATAGGAGTTTCTCCACCAGAGCCACATTGCCAGTGCGAGCAGCTTCCAGCAGCTCCTGGTCCTTCCCCATAGTCTCTCACGAGTCCCCTTACAGAGTCCTTTCCGTGCTCTGGTCCTCCTCCGGGTCCACTGTCCAAAAGCCAGGGCCCTCCCCGCCCCACCCTAAGAGGATGCCAGGGTTTGAGCACGCTGTGATCCCCGCAGCAGCCCCGCGCCGGGAGCTGCACGCCGTCCTCCTGTCTGACACACGGTGCAGCTTCTACAATGGGGAGCAGCCCGTGTTTGGGTAGAGGGGCTGGCCGAGCGACGCGCCCCCACAGCCACTCCCCTGCATTCCCGAGGCCTCCTTCCCGCGGGGTGGGGTGCGAGCGGGTGGGGACCGGGCCCCGGGTGCCGCTGAGGAACGAAAGGAGGACGCTGAGCTCTGAGGAAGATGCCGAGCATGCACTAAGGGAGGATGCACAGGGAAGAGGATGCTGAGCTCTGAGCAGGATGCTCGGGCGCCCAGAAGGACGATGCTCCGCACTGGGAAGAATGCTCCGCACCGAGGAGAACCCGGAGCGCGGAAGAGCGGCCGCAGCAACAGTCGAGCTCGTACTCCGGGGGGCTGGAGCGTTAGAGCGACAGCCGCGAAGACTCGGGCGCCCGCCCGCCCGCCCGAGTGCCCAGCCTGGACTCGCCTGGGTTCCGCACCGGGCGGGCTCGGCGGTTCCGCGGCGGCG